AGCGATAGAAACCGACGTTTCGGTGCATCTTGCGCCATTATCAAGGTTACATAATTAATTTGACTGCCTTGTTAATGAAATGCTGTGTATTCAAGATCTTAAACCAGCACTGAATGTGCAGTCTGACTCTCTTCGTGCTTAAGTATTCATGTAATTAGCTTGGCACTCTTTTATGCAAATTCGCTTCAACTTAGCCTCTTCACAAACCGCTTTTTATCTTTAATTACGTAACCTTGATAATGGCGCAAGATACACCGAAACGTCGGTTTCTATCACTTATATTTCTTGTTTCATGTATTTCCAAATCGTTTTTCATTATCATATCATGATGATAATGAAAGTCTGCCGTTTAAACGCTAACCGGGTGTGTGTCCACTAATTTTAGGAAAGTTGATGATGGCATGAGCTTGTGAATTAGTATTTTAGGATCTCATGATATTTTCTATTTTCATGAAAATTTTAGTCTACAATAGTGGAATGTGTGAAGATTTGTAAACAGGTTTTCTGAGGAGATTTTAATAAAGTTCTTGTTATATATTATATTATTATCATTATCATTATCATTATCATTATCATTATCATTATCATTATCATTATCATTATCATTATCATTATTACTATTTTTAATATTATTATTATTGTGCTGCTTTTACCCTCCCCGCTCAATATTTTCGAAATAATTAATTTTGTACAGAAAAATGAACTTGTTGTAGGCCTTATAGAAAAAAAAATTACAGTGGAATTCAGATTATTAGAACCTCAAAGGAAAACGAAAATCAGTCCAGAAAAATTGCGTAGTTTGAGAATTCGTAGTAAAATATCGTCGCACACAATTGCTAAAAATAGGTCAATAGTACCTATTGATAGAGCTCCTTGTTTGCTAGTTTACTGACCGAGCCCCAGGCGAGACCCACAAACCTGCAAAAAAACAAAGAACGAGAGCAACATTCTTCATAACCTACCAAATAAGCTAATTTAATTAAGTATTTATTATAACAGCTCTTTCTAATTTGCTGATAAATTGATGTGTTAATTGTCACGATTAAATGTCGGTAAACGCGCGCGCGAAAGGCAAGCATTTAATTACGTTTGACGAAGCAATTCGGCAAAATTATTCCGTCAGTGGTTG